TTCTTCATTAATCAGATCAAAACGTCCAGGCAAGTATTTTGTTATGAAGGCCATTAGAAAATCCTTCCACATATTATTAAAGTCGCGGCAGTTCCATGTACAGAACCATTTGATTGCGCTTCCTCTGAGTCTTCTCAATGCTTCATGCCATTTGTCCTCTTCAAAGGTTTTTTCTCTCCGAAAATATTCTTTCAGACGGAGTAAGAAGACCAATGCTTCACCTTTATCTCCATAAAAGAGTGGCACTTCCATCTCGTTCTTTTCCTCCATAGCCCAAGCTCTGATACCAATTTGTTAGAATTGAATATCCACACAGATGCAAGAGACAACTATACTTGTGTATCTTCAAAAAAACTTTTCTTTTCTATTCTTGCTTACCAGCTCTTTCTCTTTTTCTCTTGATCTCTTGATATACATTTCATACAAACTATCAAAGGTTATTTATAAGCTATAAAACTGACCAACGTAAACAGTTCCATGTACGGAACCATTTGATTGCGCTTCCTCTGAGTCTTCTCAAAGCTTCATGCCATTTGTCCTCTTCAAAGGTTTTTTCTCTCCGAAAATATTCTTTCAGACGGAGTAAGAAGACCAATGCTTCACCTTTATCTCCATAAAAGAGTGGCACTTCTATCTCGTTCTTTTCCTCCATAGCCCAAGCTCTGATACCAATTTGTTAGAATTTGGTATCCACACAGATGCAAGAGACAACTATACTTGTGTATCTACGAAAAAAACTTTTCTTTTCTATTCTTGCTTACCAGCTCTTTCTCTTTTTCTCTTGATCTCTCGATCTACATTTCATACAAACTATCAAAGGCTAATTATAAGCTATAAACTGACCAACATAACTCCACACATAACACCCTCATTACTTTATAACTGACATAACTGACTCATTAATATTCTAACTGACATAACTGACTCATTAATATTCTAACTTAAAAAACCAAAACTGCTGAAAAATGGACATTTAAAATTTATCCCAACAGGAATATCTGTTGTCTACAAGCTCGTTGAAAATTTGGTGGGTCCAGCATTGCGTGAAGGACAATATTTATTTTGTGTTGGAGAAGTGACAACAACTCTTCAAATCGAAAAAGAGAACCTTATACTAATTCAAGGGATAATTCAGAAACGTATTGAGGAAGAACTCAAGCTAACAGAAGAAATTGATGAAGATGTTAAGAAGTGGATGAATGATGTAAACGAAGTCATAGCAAAGGTGGAGGATTTGCGACAACAATTGAATGCAAACAAGGGCTGTTTTCGAGGGTGGTGTCCTACTTGGAAGCGATATTGTCTATGCAGAGAAATGGCAAAGAAAACAGGGAAAATGGAACTAATAAGGTTTGACGTTAATAAGATCATTTCACAACTTTCTAAAAATTTAAAATACTTCAAGTCCACAAAGGAGGCAAAGGATAAACTTCTCGAAGCTCTCAAAGATGACAATTGCTATATTATTGGATTGTATGGGATGCGAGGTTCGGGGAAAACATCCCTATCAATTGAAGTGGGCAAGATAGCAGAGAAATTGAGGATTTTTGATCATGTTATATTTACTGCAGTTTCCAAAGAACCACAAATCAACAAGATTCAAAAAGAAATTGCAGACTTCTTGGGACTAAAATTTACAGAAGAAAGTGATTCAGGAAGGGCAGCACGAATATCAATGAGAATGAAGAGTGGGGAAAGAATTTTAATAATTTTGGATGACGTCTGGGCAAAGCTTGATTTCAAAAAGATAGGCATTCCTATTAAGGGTGACCACCATAAGGGTTGCAAGGTCCTTTTGACCACATGCCTCCAACAAGTATGTACCTCAATGGATTGTAACACAATGATTGCGTTACATCTTTTATCTGAAGAGGAGTCTTGGACTTTGTTAAAAATTAATGCAAGAATAAATAATGGATTCTCCTCTGACTCAATGAACAAAGTGGCACGTGAAATTGCAAGGGAATGTAAAGGGTTGCCCATTGCAATTGAAGCGGTGGGAACCTATTTGATGGGAAAGTCTGACGATGACTGGAAAGTAGCATTGAACAATCTGAGAAATGAAACCGCCAAGTCAATTTTGTTGATATGTAGTTTATTTCCTGCAGATCATGAGATTGAAGTTGAAGATTTATTCAGATATAGAATAGGACTGGGAATATGTGGGCAAGTTGACTCATTTGAGATAGCAAGGAACAAAGTGAATGAATTCTCATTGATTCTTGTTTGCTTTCCTATTCTGGACAAGGAAACAAAAATTTAAAAATGCATGGTTTGGTTCGTGATGTAGTTATAGGAATAGCGTCCAAAGAGAAAGGAACCATTTTGATAAATGAAGGAAGAGAGCAGCTTGAATTACTAGAGCATGAAGCTGTTAAAGATTCTTTTGCGATATCTTCTTGGGATTTGAAAGGAAATTGGTTCCCTGCTGAGCTGAATGCACCAAAACTTGATGTTCTATTGTTGAACTTCTTTAATCCTCCACCAGTGGATTGGTCAAATGTATCATTTGAAGGTGTGAAAGAGCTCAAGGTTTTGACAGTAATAGGGGAACACACTTGGCGTTTGTTGCAGAAATTATCATTGCCACAATCAATTCAATGGCTAACTAATCTTCGAACTCTGCGGTTGTTGAAATTGGAGTTAGAAGACATCTCTTTTGTTTTAAGCCTAAGGAGACTTGAGATTTTAGACTTGAAATATAGGAAATTTAAAGAGCTACCCAATGATATTGACAAACTGAATAAATTGAAATTACTGGATTTGTCAGTGTGTCAAATTGAAGAGTGTTGTGATGAAGTAATCAGAAGGTGTTCGCAGCTGGAAGAGTTATACATTTATGGTGAAGTGTGCATAAATTCATATGTAACATTGGAGAAGAATGAAAATTTCATGAAATTGCAAAGCTATGTGATGAGTGTTGGGGTGCCCGAACTTGATAACCGCTATGTGATTCAAAATTTGCCAAAGAGAGTTATGTACATGGCAAAGTTCAATATCTCCATGCCAGGTACAGTTGTTAGGAAACTTCTACAAAGAGCAAACTCGGTTCTTTTCGATAGACTTAAGGGAGGTTGTAAAAGTATCTTCCCCGAAATGTTTCAAGCTATAGGAAGCATGAACGAGTTGACTGAGCTCCATTTGATTGATTGTAATGAGATAGAATGCCTCGTCAATCAAGCTACTGAACATGGAATCAGCTTCTTCCAAAAATTGGAAATACTAGAAATACGTAATTGTTGTAATTTGCAGAGTACGTTTCCTGATGAAAGCAATTTGTGCAATCTTAAGCTCTTGGCCATAAAACAATGTCCTAAGTTGACATCACTCTTCCCAATGTCTGCTGCTCGAAATCTGCTTAAGATTGAAGAAATAGAGTTATCAAGTTGTGGTTTATTGAAACATATGATAACAAAGGAAGAGAGTGGGATTAAATACTTCCCGTTACTGATGAAGAACTTGAAATTGAACTCCCAAACTTAAGGGAGATAACACTTGAAGCATTGCCAATTCTCGTTGATGTCTGTCAAGGGATAAAGCTACACGCAGTAATCAGTTTGAAAAGTCTTGAGAGGCTACACGTGCATAGATGTAGTAAATTGAAGTCCATCTTTTCTGCCGCTGTCATCAGAAGTCTTCCGCGGCTCGAATCAATTGATGTGGGCTGACTGTGAGGAGTTGGAGGAAATAATTTCAGATGAGGGAGGCAAAGAGCCATCAAATCCACTCCCTCAACATGTGTGCTTCCCAAAACTGAGAACTCTTGTTATCGAGAGATGCAGCAACTTGAAATGTGTCTTCCCTATGTCCATGGCTGGAGATCTGCCACAACTCTATGACATGGACATAAAGGACTGCTCTAAACTAGAGTTTATTTTTGGAAGTACATATAATGCTCATGACCTGGAGGGGATACAATGGAAGTATCTGTCGGAAGTGCATCAGGAGTTTCTGCCAAATCTTAACCGCTTGTAACTCGAAGGACTGCCGTCTTTGATATTTCAACCTCGTTTATCCTCAACCACAATTACGGCTCTCCATAACTTAATCCAGGTACTTATGATACAATATATACTTTCTAATCCTTAAGTTAATCAATGATATTATTATAAATCGTTACTATATAATTTTATTTTTTTGGGAAAAAGAAAGCACTTTTGTTATGAGATTGTTTATTAAACAGAGTAAGTTAATTGATGCTTAAGTTGAGCTTTTTGATTACTATAGCCCTTATTTAATAATTAATTATCAAATCGACCTTGATAATAAACTATTTTAAAAATTTAACCTTGCTTAAAAATATAACATCAATCTGCCCCTGTTTGACCGTTGACCATCAAGTCTACCTGGGTATCCCCTTCCCTACTCGGGTATTTTTTGAAAATTTTACCCTACCCGAATAGTCAAAGGAATACCCTAATATATTTCAAAACTCTGGGAAAATGGTTGAATTATTTACCCGAGTAGGGAGGGGCTACCCGGGTAAATGTCGCATGGATTATTTCACAAAGACGGATGGAAGTGTCTTTTACAACTGCAACATGCTTTCTCATAATGGTGTCTCTGGTTATGCTATGGGCATGGAAGATGCTGAATTGGATGTGGCTGAGGCCAAAGAGATTGGAGAGGGTGTTGAGAGCAAAGGCCTTCAAGGCAATCCTTATAGGCTTTTGGTTGGGGACACTATGGAGATGTTTAAGATGTTTAGGGGTTGTTTGGTATGTCGCTTCTGATGAAAATCATGGGAAAGTGATGTAAGTAAACAATGTTTACCATGTTTGGTAACTGGTTTTGATAAAAAAAAAAAACCGGTATAATAATGCAACCGAGAAAATAATTTTGTACTAGGAGATGGAACAATTAAATGCAATGTGAACCGTGGTATTAATAATATCCACGAATTGAGATTCCTGATTTGCAATTTTTAGGACGAAAATGCCCTAAAAAAGCAACTTTTGAGTACAACTTATGTGATTTGTGTCAGCGTGAGATCTATTCGACCACAACTTATCTTTGTCTTTGTGAAGCTCCGTCTGCGTTGTGTGGGTGAGGAGAGATTTGCTTCAGCGTGAGATCTACTTTGGACCACATCAAGTCTTCGTCATTGTGAAGCTCCGTGTTGCTTTGAGTGGGTGGTATGTTGTTCACAAAGCATGGTTTCGAAATAGATATTTGTGTGAACAATGTTTCTTCATAACCTGCTTCATCTAGTTTGAACTTCGATTTTTAGGAATCTGCCAAGTTGTGGTCCTATTTTCGAGCTTCATACCTGTGCCGTAGATACCGTGGTGCTTCTTCTCGGGTACGAAGTTGTTATTCTTTTGCATGCTTAGTGTGTCTCTTAATTTCGATCAGAGATGTGTGGGTGAAACACAGAGAGGCACAACAGTATTAGCTACCATTTTTGTATATTTTTATTATTACTACACAAACCACATACTCACGGTGAAAAAAAACATGAACCAAAAAAACTCTCCAATCCATTTCAATTGCAAGTACAAAAATGAAATCAAATAAATAGTAAAATTACTAACAGGGGATATTTGTGGAGGGTAACCATGCATGGTGACAAATTCATACTTTGGAATATAACCCTAAACACTGTGCAAACCTTTTGAAGTACGGATATACGAAGAAAATGTAGCTTCCAGTGCCGTTCGCAAGGATGGCTGCAAAAAGACGCTCGTTCAGCTCCGGAGTTCGTTCGTTTGGACAACTTAGCGGTGCAGGAGGACCAGTCGATGTGGACGGCGAGTGTAGAGGCCTGACTCTATGCGGGCTCTCCGATTTGATGAGATCTCCTCCACCACTGATACCGAATACAGGAAGAGAGGTGAAGCCAAATGTTCGCACAAAGAGAAATGAACGTTGAGAGGGAATACAGAGGTGAACTAACGTTTTCATGATGAGGACATTCAATATTCAAAATGGTGGGCAATTTGGTAATTTAGGTTTACTTTCCCATCAATATTTTACAATCATCCAAATACAACATTAGTAAAATTCACTCAATTTTTCTGGAAAATTTTGGTCTACCAAACATTTTTTTTAACTTACCCGGCAAAAAATTCTTCCTACTATATTCGAGCAAATTTCTTTCCTATTAAAAAAAAATATTCTCTGTACCAAACGCCCCGTCAGAAGGAACGTAACAAATGTCAACAATCCATGAGTTCTCTCTCAAATGACAAGGATATAGCACCCCGTGTCTTCACATTTAATCTTGTGAGATTTGTCTCTGATGATCGATTAATATGTCTCTGTCTCTCACAACATTCAAAATCAAAAAAACTAAGACACATTGAGTTCAATTTTTTTGAATTTCTCAGAAGAACCAAATCGATTCTTTTTACTGGAGACACAATCCTTTGGATATTCTTGTAATATTTAGTTGGGTAACTCCTTTCTATCTGGGTAAATAATTCGCCATTTTTCTAGATTTTTGAAATGTATTAGGGTATCCCCTTGACTATCCGGGTAGGATAAAATTTTCAAAAAATACTCGGGTAGACTTGATGGTCAACGGTCAAACAGGGGCAGATTAGTGTTATGTTTCTAAATTTTTTAAATAATTTATAATCAAGGTCAATTTGATAATTAATTATTAAATAAGTGTTATAGTGATAAAAAGTCGCTTAAGTTGGCTTAGATACGTATCTCCATGCATGCATTATTTTGTTTATTATTTTTATTTCATGGCTCCCCTAACCAAGTTGTACCATTGCCAAATGAAGTTGTAGATAACAGGCCAGTGCAGTCACCCGTTGCAGTATTGATGTCTCTAGAAGTGGAGATTTGTGGGCTTAGTCAACCACTGCTCCTCATTCATGGTCTAATGCCTCTCCTGAAGATGTCACATAGGAGTTTAAAAATTCTTTGAAACAAGTTTATCCCACCTTGGATCTTGAGGACAAGGTCCACTTTGAAGGGAGACCGGATGTTACAAGTGTAAGGCCCAATGATGATAACACAGTAAGACCCAACCGTGAAAGGAAGCTGCCAGCGTGGAGGAAAGACTTTCTGCAGTAGGGCTTGCGTGTAATAGTATCAGTAGTGGGTTGTAATATATCAGTAAATAGAATGTGTAATAAATGACGTGGCATATGGTACTTGGTTGGTTGCACACGTGATTAGTTATGATAGGTAGCTACAGTAATTATGCATGAATTGTATATAGTTAAATAAGGATACTTGTAAGAGGCATATGACAAATATCAGAATTCTTGTTTTTCTTCATTGTTCTTCTCTTAGAACTTTGTTGCGATTATGACAAGTATACCGTTTGTTTAAAGTAATAAAAGTGTGAGTAGAGTATCGTCCCACAAGGATTAATGCACCAAGTATTATTTAACTAGTCCCCTTAATTTGAAAAACTCGAATTGTTTTGCAAAATAGAATTTGAATTAAAATTAATTATAGAGAATATCAAAAATATTCAAGAACGCAAGAATTGAGAATTAAGTTTAAAATATCAAAAACAGAAACTGTAGCTATGAATTATTTCACCTCGGATGCTCCTAGAGTAGTTTAAATTAAATTAAATAATAATTCATCTCATATATTTCAGATAATTCTTCTTCTAAAATTAGTTAGTTAAATCCTAATGTCTTAGTGACTTTAACCCTTTACTCTAATTAGAATCATAATGTCTTAGTAATTCCTCTTAGAATATGCATTAGAAACAATGAACTATGAAGTCTACAACTCAAGCAAGCCTATGTCTAGATCTTGCAAGAATTGGTATTTTACCCCTGTCAGGATTAAAACCTCAATACGTCTATTGTGAGCCCTAACCCTCAAATCCCTATAAGAGTGATCAATTCATACAAGGATATAGAAATTCATGTAAGGTAAAACACAAATAACTAAAATAATTTATTAGAGAACAAATTTAAACCACAAATAGGATTCACACTGGATCTATAATCCTAACTACATAAATGAATTTAGCCTAACATATTCATAAATTCAAAATAAAAAGATGATGAAAAATAAAAAAAGTTCATGATAAAACTTGATTAATGATGATCAATTGATGAAGCTTTGATCTCCTTCTTCTTCTCTGGAATTCCGCTCCAGAATTTCTCCTCCGGTTCTGCCTTCTGCCTTCATCTACGAGTTCTCCTTTCTTCCGTCTTTTGAATTCTGTTTTGAAGGCTTCATCGCGTTGTATTTAAAGGCTTAAAATTGGGCCTTTAATTTTGGACCATCTCGCTGAGGAGCTCGCTGAAGCGAGCTGCTCAGCGAGCTAATTTCCTTCCCTCGCTGTTGTACTCGCTGAAGCGAGCAACAGAGTGAGCTTCTCGCTCACTTTCTCGCTGAAGCGAGCAACAAAGCGAGAAAAAATTAAATTTTATTAATTCTTTATTTCTTATTTTTTATTTATCTTCAGCCGGTGCCAACTGCCTTCTCCTTATCAGGTTAGTAGTTTCTTCTTTCTATTATGAAACAACCCGAAACAATAAAAAGGATTAGAATCTTATCTATTTTTTGGCATTTTAATTTTCTTTTAGATTTTATTAATTAACACTATATTCTTAATCATATTAATTATTATTTGAACTATTTTTGACATTAAAAACATAGTGTCTTTGACACTTATCAAACTCCGTTCCTAACACTATGCCCATGTCTATAGCCTCTGTAGCCATGGTTTTTTTTGGTGATATTAAATGTATTTTGGTCATGATATTGCTAGAAATGATAGAATTGGACAATATATACAAAAATGAAATGTCATGCTGTTAAGGATGCTACCTAATGTAAGTTATGTCCTTGTTTAGAAAGTATATCTCAAAAAGGATGGTACCTTATGTAAGTTACCTAATGTAAGTATAGCAGCTGTTAGAGATATTTAAAAAATTATTAGTGTAGTCTCACCTAATAGCTTAAGCTTTTGGGTTAAATTTATTCTTTATATGGAATCAAAGCCTCGGAGTCACGGGTTCGATCCTCACCCCCCCACTTTCTATTATGGAATTTCTTGGCACAGATAGGCTAGGTTTGATGCATTATCCACCCTTCAAGCCCAATAGACTTTCGCGTGAGGAGGGCGTGTTAGAGTATAATATAAAACCATTTAATTAATAATTAATTAAGTCTTGTGGAGTTTCTTAGTACAGGTAGGTGAGACTGTGTATTACCCACCATTATGTAGGAGCAATTAGATCATGCGAAAGCGTTTAAACCATTGAAGTTTGGAAATATAGAATCATCATTGTTTACAATTACCTCTTGTTAGCGTAGATATGAGATGATGCTCCACACGCTTGAGTCCTTTGCATCACAGCACGGACTCACGAACTATTGCGACACAACACAAACAGATCTCTACTGTTCGGGTAAACCTTCCAAACTATCTCTCGAGGGGGGAGGGGAAGTGTGTGGGCACTTTTCAGATCTGAGCTTACCTTTTTGTTTACAATGACCTATGAGGAGGATGACTTAAGTGGTAGTATTTATAAGGGTTCCAAGAAAAATAACCCTAAATCTCAAGATGTGTTAAATGGAGGTTTAAGAAAGACAGTGTGTGAATTTTGTGACTGTTAAGAAAATTCTGACAGTTGAATCATGGAATTGTCATGATAATGAATTGAAGGACACAATTTATGCCTAACAAGTCAATTAGGACCTAAAAAGAACATAAGTTGTGTTTAGAGACAAAATTACAAAAATTATGTTAATGGGGGTATTTTGGTAATTTTATAAACTAGGGCTGAACTGAATTTTAACAGTCTAGTTAAATTTTTTGTTGAATTTTAAGGGATATATATGTGTCTAATTTGATTAGATGATGTGTAGAACAATTTAAATAATTAGGTCAAAGTTTAAGGAAATTCAAAGTCAAAACTATGTAAAAATAAGCTTAAACTTTACAACTAAGCTTAAGTCTTGGTCAAAGATGATTGTATTGTTTTGTTTGCTATTTTTATGTGTAATTGTATAATTGTATGATTTGTTGGTCAAAGATTCAAGTGTGTGAGGTGTAAAGTAAAAACCAATAGAAATTAAGTTACTTTTTACATGTAAAAGTCAAATTTTGTGTGCCATGCTTTCTTTATGAGTGCATCTTGATTCTTCCTTGTATATTATCCATATTCCACGCCATTTTATGTATGAAATCAGCCAAGGGAGTGTGTTAAAAGATTAAAGCCATAACCAATGAGAATTAAGTTACTTTAAAGGTTTGAAAAAGTCAAAAATGGTGGCTTTATGTAGCTTTTACTAACCAAGTCGGTTTGCATTCTTTTTGGCCTCACTTTCACACATGTTTGGCTGATTGGAAGAGTGTTTGTCTTCTCTTGGAAGCTTGGCTAGAGTTGGATGAAAATATCTTAAGTTAAAAAGTGAAAAAGTAATGTAAACTTACACTTTAAGTCTTTGAAAATTGTTAAAGTTGGCATCTTTTCTTTCTTTCCTCCAAAAACACATGACACCTTCTCCTCTTCTTCTCCCTCTTGGTCGTGACATATGGTGAGGTGAAGAGCTTGAGAGAACTTGTGATTTAGACATTATTTTAAGAAAGTTTCAACATGAAAAAGATATCTAGTGAGCTTGTGAGTAAAACCCCTAAAACTATACACCTTGTAGCTTTTTTTTGAGTGAGATATCTTCTCCTAAAGACTTGATTAGCTTATGTCCTCTTGGTGTTTGGATGAGTTTTTGCTTGGTTTTTATGTTGGAAAAAGCCTTCGTTTACCTAAAGGAAGCTATACAAGGTAGTTGATGTTAATTTGGTTGGTTGGAAAATGATTTGTGAAGCTATGTGTTCTTGTGTTTACCATGAATTTCTATGGATGTTGATGATGTGTTTTGAAGTGGTTTGATGTTGTATGTTGATTAATTTACCATTTAAAGTAAAGATAATATCATGTATACATGAAAAATGAAAGATAAATAACCTA